AGATTATATCAAATATATTGTTTATTTGAATTAAATATAATTCAAATAAAAAATTTTATTTTTTATAAATTATAAAATTATAAATTTTTATAATTTATCTGAAATTGTTATTTTAATTTTTTAAATTTATGTTTTCAAATATATTAAATGTAAAATTATTCATTATTATATATAAACTAAATTTAAATTATTCGTGATTATTTCCATATATATTTTAATTAATTCAATATGGGAAAATGAAGAATTAAAATGTAAAATATATCAAATTTGTTATGGATATATCAAATATTATCAAAATGTTTTAATCGTTTGTAATTATTTTTCAAATTTTCATTTAATTTTTCTTGTTTCAAACGTATGTATTTTATTATCAGACTTTTTTAACAATTAAATAAATATATAAATTAAAACATTAGAAAACAAATATCTCAAAATTCAAGTTTAAATATAAAATTGTATTCAAAAAACCAAAACATTTTGTAATTTTTATTAAAAATATTGACAAAATACAATAATAACAATTATATTTATTCTTTACAAACAAAAAAATTGTACTTAACATAAAAATTATCTGTTAAATAATGATTAATATTACATTTGTACACAGTAATTATATATTTATTATTTGATAATAATAATAATAATAATAATAATAATAAATGTTATATTTATAAACATCAAATTAATTAAATCAGACAAAAACATCAATTATAAAATTATTTTAATTATTTTGACTGTGATTAAAACGACAAAAATGATTATGTTGGTTCGTTAAATATGCAAGAAAATTAACCGAACTATAACACTATGTTTATAAACATAAACGAATTAACAATAAAAATAGCATTATTAACATTTCTTGAACTTAAACTTGCCTTATAAAAGTATTGTTTTATAAATGTAGTTAATTATCAGGATTTTAAGAATTTTAAGATGATGCGAAAAAAACTCAGAAAAAGTTACATTTTTAAATAAAACAACACAAAAATAGTTTTTGTATAGACATATTTCTGTTTATATAAAAAATGGAATTGTTGTTGCATGATATTTTCTGTTTTATGCCAACCATGTTGTACTTTATTTTTTCGATAGTTAGAATTTTGTGTATTTGTAGTGTTCAAAATAAGTTTTGATTATTATTAACTTTTGTGGATAAACAATAATAAATTCATTTTTATACATAAGAAGCACAACAAGACAAATTGTATGTAAACACATAAAACAATCAATTAATCTGTCAAGCCTTCTAAAAAATACACAACCAGTTTCATGTTCGTAAAATTGACTATAAAATACTCTAATATTGAATTAATGGACACTTAAACAATCACATAAATTATGATTAAATAACAAGAGAGTTATAAGAACACTTGATCATTGAAAACTAAATATCATAAGTGGTGTGTAAAATAAAGACTAAAATAGAGGACAGAGTATCGAGATATGCCAATAACACACAAAACGAAAATTGCCAAGGTTAAAGAAAACAATAAAAA